AGAAATATATTCCCATCTGAGTCCAAGAGCATGAAATTATAATGGGATTAATAAAACATGTCCAACATAATAGTAATAATAGTAAGGTTCAAGGCTATTGACCATTCAGAGGCGTCCAAGCCGGTTATTTACCAAAACGACGCATTAAATGAGATATAACCTTATCAACTCCCTCCATTTAAAGTATTGTGGATTTTTTTCTATCAGGTTGGCCATTTGCTTGACCTCTAATAAAATATTGACAAGAAATCTCGCTGGAAAACACCATAATTGGTAGCTAAGCTTTTGAATTTCATGTGGAGCATGTGTAAGGCTATTCGAACGGAGGGCATGAACCAACACCTCCACATCCCCGAACGTTGTACGTCATCGAAGGAACAACCGATTTTCGAGAGAAGGCATAGTTCTGCCCATAAAGTATTATTTATTAGCTAAGAACTAATTCATTTTTTCCAAAACCATCCAATAAAAAGCGAATTTATGTCAGTTTAATTATTTCAGGCCTAATATAACTGCCACTAGTAAGAAAAATAGGATCCACTAGCAAAATAATGAAGAACAATAACAAACAATGTATTAGGGATTTGTTGATTCTACTGTTCCATTTAAAATTGCAGGAAGCCGGGACGACACGTGGACCAACAAGTTGTCAATGGTGGTTTCTTCCATACAAGTATTAAGCCCTCGATTCGGCCATTGCTACATTGAAAGGTTCCTTGTCCCAGGTTTTTTAATATGGACGCAAAGAAATTTTCGGCAGGACTGAGGTCAGGACCGTTGGCAGAAATATATATATGCTTTGCGAGCCGCAGACTGGAAGGTGGGCTGTAGTCTAAAAAAGTAGATTATATCCGCAAGTTTAGTTAAAATCACATCTCCTTTGAGCGATGAACAGCAGCACTATCCTTCAAATGTGCGGTATCTATCCGACGTCGATGAATGTCGTTTAACCAGAAGCACCAGATGAGCACTTTACTTTTGATGGTCCCTGTTGTTGATCGCCAGCTCGTCCGCCCTCCAAATTTGTTGGCCATCCAAATCATGCAGCGTCGACAGCTCTTGAAAGTCGCTGTCAATATAGTGTGTTCTCTTGGGGAATTCTTTCCACATAACAAAGATAATCACACCAAACGTATGCAGCACTGCCCTTTCAGATGCCGACCACGATATCCCAAGAGTTATGTCACCTACCCTATGTATACTACTGACTTAAAAACATGAAAATTATGTCTACATTTTCGTTGAATGGATAGAAAAATAGAAAACGCAGTGGTAATTTTGTTTATCTGTGATTGTCTAACTGTGGTCGTGGAGAGAAAAGTGGTCTCCACCGAAGCCGACGAAAATGGCAACAGAATCTGATTTATAAGGTCAGCCTCTAAAAAACCAACAACTGCGTGTACAGGTTTACCTAGCTTCCCGTTGTATCTATCTATTAACACGGCCATTCCGGCGAAGAACTAACAAATATCTTTACATATGGAACCATAATTATTTTTTTCCAAAATAAGAACCTCGGATATCTCCCAGTCATCTGAGGCCAGGGAGGGGCTTCGGCTGAAATCCAGACCAATCATTAATCACCGGCTTCTTGAAACATAGTGGAACGGAATGAAATGCGAATATTTTTGACTGGATATGCCAGGTAGTTAGTTCCTGAGAAAAAATGAGTCTTTTCTGCCATCAGCATCTCTTTTTGTACCCGGTTCACGTTTAACTGGAGACAAACTCTTTATTTTTGCCAGCCACTGTGTCCAATCTCCTGCTCATTCAGCTCTACTAGAACAGGCCGTTAGTATTTGCGAGATGGACGGCAGATTGAGGCTGACATGGAGAATCCATAGTCATGACAAATAGGTCTACTCATAACTAAAATAATTCTGACGAGTGTGGAATTTTCAAGACGGTTGGAAGGCTGTAATTTGAGGGGAAGGGAGGGAGGTAGATCGGTCTTACTCGGCAGCGCTCTTTATAGCAGTCCCACATGTCTGAAATTCGAAAGCTCTGGATGAGGCCTGAAGCATGCGGATTTAGGGGCCAGGTTGTATGTGACATGGATAAACGAGCTGCTTGGCCCTGTCAGCCACCGCACCCAAACCATCGGAAAACGGTAGGCGCAGGAAGAGACAGCGAAATAGATGCATCGTCAGCCTGCGTCACTAGAAGCAAATCAACACACAAGTCACAGCTTTGTCCACATCGTGGGACGGTTGTGGTACTCATTTTCTGTGGCAGTCAAACTAAAGTGTGCTCAATATACACAATGTTCATTTTTTCCGAGAATGCTGATTCTTCCACCGGCTACCACTCTATACTCGTCGAAGAGGCAAAGGAGAACCTTCATGTTAAATGCCTAGGTCCAAGTCGACCGTGCTTATCATGCCTCCAGAGATGGTTTACGATGCAGAGCACAAGATTATTCCTGTGTCCATTCCAGTCAGTGATAAATTACACAGAACCCAATTTCATGGCGGACAGTGATGACAAGCTCAAACATAATAAAAATCAAATAATTGAAGCATACTTAAGCCATAGTCACAAAGGTGATGTGCTAGTGGCCAAAGTTTTTGTAGTCAAAATAACCTCCAAATCGTTTGCAAGCAATTGGTATTCAGTAAAAGGACCTCCTGTACGGTTTATTCACAATTTTTACCTACGCCTTCGTGTTCATCCCATGGATGGACCTTTTGTTCAAATTTTCAATGTGTTGGTAACCAGAAACGGATAATTACGTATAGATTGAAGGCGTCAAGATCTAATCAGACAGTTCCCACGGACGGGTCTAGACTCTTTGCTCCAACAACGATTTTACCGCAATTTCATACGAGCTTTCACCCACAAAAATGGCTAACTCTTCTGATGAAGTATTGGTTAGTAAAGTTCTTGGGAAAATGGCTAAAACAATGCTCAAACTTAGCTGATCCCAGAATGATGTTACCGACAAAGACAAGGGAGACTGGAATGATCATTTCTGCCTTATTAGCCGTCATCAGCCAGTCATACCCAGCCCCGAATTGTGGAACACCCGAGGCTCAAACTTGCGACCTGTTATTTAGAAGTCCAACGACTCTAACCACTGGGCCACGGGCCCGTTGTCCTGTCGGTTGCAATCGGGGATATACAATGCTAGAGGGGCGATCACCGATCGTTCTTACGGAACTCACTCGTTCCGTTGTGCCTTACGGGCTCTCTCTCTAGTCAAACCAGCAGCCGGAGACTTGGTCTTTATTTGGGCTTACTAAAAAAGTCAACAGAGTTTTGCTTTTTTAAAGATGCTTGAGGATACTGAACGTGTATAAGCTATATAATTTAGCTTTTAATGTCAGTCGGTAATACTCTACACCTAGTCAGATTTGACTTGAAAGGCAAAAAAATATACGGCTGATAGACTTGTCGGCAGTAATCTGTACTGCTAATTCAAGGATATTTCCTCTCCAAGGAAGTAGCAGCGTTAGTCTTGATTTTTATCTCACAATTTAGAGCAACCATGGTTGAAGTTAGAAAGAACTATACCGCCATTTATAATTTTATTTAAAGTGCACCAACCGGCCTTGTCCGGAAGCATTTCATTTGTCCATAAAGTTACATAATGGATACAATCGGCCGCGGAATTCTACCCTGGTGAGGACAGGAGCGCTTGTACAGTGATCCTTTCTCGGTCACTGGGGCCGCATTCTAGAATCCCCCACGAAAGGTGGAAATTTACGAAGTAAAACTATGTTTTGACAGCTATTGTTTAAATGTTTTAGGCCATTATAAACCCTCTCACATTCTTATAGACACTTCCTACACAGCATAAACCCTTCACATTCTCTTAGAAACCAAGTAAGGTTCGTTGAAATCAACTGGGTAAACCAATTGAAGAGGCGTACAGCAGAAAAAAGAAGATCCATTGTCCAAGGAAATTCGCGGACTGGCGAAAAATCCGCCATATACATACATATACTTGCATTCAAAATCTGCACTAGAGGGAAGCTGTAAAGTCTACGCTCGATACAGCGAGGATTTACTGTGTGCCAGAAGTAACGGCTGGTGCATTTGTTAAATTCTGTGTTCGGAGAATTTTTGTGCATGCTCGACAGGACTGTGTCCGGGAATAGAGCGGGCTAATAAATCCAGTGAGCGCTGGTAGAACTTTCTCGATGAGCTCGACCATCGTCATCCTGTGGGGTGGACTGCAGTATGTTCGTGGTCACTAACAGGGGTTTTTTCCGAAAGTTATGCCGCCTGAAATTGGAATTCTGGCGGAGAAAGCCGCGCCTACAACCACCCCCCTCCCCCCAGGTTGTCCGTTGCGTTCACCATACGTAGGCCGACTGCCGTTTTTCGAATTCCCTCCTAAGTCACCTCTGCCACGCTCAGTTGGCCCGTAAGTCGCGACCCTCCCAGTCTGACGTCAAATTTCCGTACTCGAATAGGGAATAGCCCTCTTATATTCTGTCATCGCATTGTGGTGTTCCCACCCAGCCTTGTCTGTGTCAAACGTTCTACGCTGGTTCACCACCAACATTGACTCATGCCTTGAACATTGGATTACTAATTCACGACAGTGATCCGTTTTAGCTGCATTTAAAACTGACCATCCACTTTTTTCTCAAATGATTAGCCAACCCTAAATTCACCGAAAAGGTTGTAACTGAGGGTCCATCATGTCCTCTTCCTCTTACACATGTAGGGTAAAATTTTCGACCGAATTTTGGGTTTGGAATTCCAAAAGCCTGGTTCTAATTCCAAGAACGAACAGGGTTCTTCGATATAAACTCTTTACTCCCCTTTCCACAAGCTGCGGAGATTTGTACTCAGTAATATGCGTTTAAGGCAAAGATTTAACATTAATTAATTTTTGTCTATATTTTTGCACGCTTAAACCATACTTCAGCCTCATTTCATGCTCATTTCAACCCCCCTCCTTCTGTAGGTTCATTTTTGGCGCCCCACTAAGGTGGGAAGAGCTGGATATGACAGATCATCAGGGGACAGACTTTTCTGCCTGCCGACTGCTTTCTGAACCACATTCAGGCCCGGCAGACGTCCTGCCAACGGACTGTCGCGTACAGACTAAGTCTGGCTGCGACAGTGCCGACTCCGGCTGCGATTTCGATACGGAGTTGTCAACTGTAGTCCCAGACATATGGAAGGTCAACAGGGAAGCAGGTTCAAAGGTTTGCTTGGACGGGACGACCTCTGCTTCCTCTCCACCTAGCGCAAGTCACTCAACTTACACCTTCTCTTCGTGCTCATCGGAAGAAAAATCTTTCTGCAAACCGAACGGAGTCGGTGCATTTGACACCTCCAATCTCCTCGAACCTTCAGCTGACTCATCCAAAGTACCCCTACTCAGCTCTCTTTCCAATATGGCTGCCTCAGAGACGCCCTCAAGTGGGAACCCGCATGTTCCCAGACTCCAATTTTTTCCACCGGCCGAACATCAACGGCCCTCTAACCAGTCCGACTCTGGTGAACCCTTGCGTGGAACAACGTTTGCAAACACGCTGCAGGACAGTTATGACGGCGAAATGAGCTTCATTACGGCTGGGTTGGCCGATTTTCACCGACCTAGGGACGCTCGGTTCGACCAAAACTCTGCTGCGGCAGCATCCGTGAGGCGAGCTACTGCAAGGACACAAAGGCGTGGGGCCAAACAAGCGATGGGAAAGATGAAAATTCCCCACGCGTCGCCGAAGGAGAATGAGTCTACCGCTATCATGAAGTCTCCTGCTGCTCCTGATGTTCAGTCACCTGGGGCCTCCTACAAATATCTCTCCTGGAGAGAAAAAGATAGGCGACGTCGTTTTCGGGAAGAATGGAAGAACCTCTGGCTAGTTATCCCGTACGGTTCTTACGAAGTGAGTTTTTCACCTCAGAACATTTTTTTCTGGGGCCACTCCGTTTAAACAACATACAGTACCAGCGAGTCAAGGAATTGTGTGCCGGACTGCCCACTGCCGAGTGGTTTACAAGACTGGCTTGTGAATTTGGGGTCAAAGGTTCGAGTGTTAGACAGGGCGCTATGACAAAAGAAACACCGGTTCGCGTAACCGTGCACAACTGTAGTACTACTGCTATTTCATTCGAGTAGGCGAGTAGAGATTTGTCAGTATGGTAAAGGGAACAAGCGATTCTAAAAGGAAAAGTATACGCAGCCTGGTATGGATTAGTGTTCACTGATCTGACATTAACATAAGACGAAACGGTATACTCCGTCCAAAAATTAGGTCAGATTGTTGGACGCCACTTATATTTAACTTGGAATATTTCGGCCGCTGCTAACAAGACATGAAACCGCGGCTCAACTGGCAGAGCGTTCCAATTCCCCATCGGCCAGCATATATTTAGGGCGTGGTTGATTAATTGGTAGGGTCAAGTACATTGCCACTCGCCTAAACTTGATTCCGTGCACCCCTTTTCATATTTAAGACCTTCGCGTTTCCTGCCGTGAAAGGTCCCGCCCCTAAAAACCCGAACACTTAATAACTGTGGGTTTATTTCGGCGCTTTCATAGCACATAAAGATGAGCATACGGTGAAAATACGAGTTTATCGACTCTTATACTTCAGACCTTCGCTCTTCCTGTCTTGTAAGGCCCTTATCCCCTTAGATCCATAATTACCAACATTCTCATATTACATGTGACCTTACACCATAGTTCAGGGGAGGGCATATACGATCTCAGCCGGTTAATGATAAGAAATAGGCGAAAAGTTGTTCTTTCAGTCTCCTTCACCTTCGCCGGTGCTGCATCATAATTAAAGGATGTATTCACGAATCTACCCAGGAGCGGAGCGAGTCTATGTTATCTGCATATATACTTTCAACATAGAAACTAGCTTCTCAGTAATGCAACTATCTAATACAGTTCTCATGGCCATTTAGGATCTAGTTGGCTTACGCGTGTAGAGCCGAGTATTCTTGGCGAGAGTTTGGTACCGTATAAGGATAATCTGCCGCGTGTATTTTATTAAATGTCCTGTTTAGGTTTAACATCTTTAGAACGCTTCAGTTATAGTACTTTCCTCCGAAACTCCAAGAACGATGCTGATTAATTAATCGCAAGAACTACAAGAACAAGTGAACTTTTTTGTAGCAACAGGAGGAGTGGGCTAAGTACTTTAAACAGAATAAGGTACAGAATACACTAAGGGTTTGGTTAACATAGGTCGGCATTAAAAGGCAAAAAATTTGTCCCCTTTCCAACGTGTTCTTATCGGCTAGAACTTTGGATAACTCCGTTTAGAATGTCCAAAATAAGCGCACATGGGTCTGTAGCGAGCAGTCATTTTTCGACGGACCTTTCTGACACCTGTTAAGTCGTCTAATTTACTAGTCCACATGATGGGCAGGGCGTACAGGTTGCAGTCTATGAAAATTTTGACTTAAACCCCTCATAAAATCATAAATACCATACCATTTCGTAGAAGTAAATTTGACATATACTTTATAGTTTTACCGATTATTGAACGGTCTTATTCTTAACAGATTAGTTTCCCTATAAAAGAGTTTTTAAAAATGCGCACTGTGTGAAGGAACGTCAAAAATTATGAGGCGAAAGGCGTTTGTATACAAATGGTGGAAGCTGTTGCTACTGCGAATGCGCCGACTACCCCGACCTTATACTGCCTACCAGTCTTTCACAGACAGCCTTAGATGTCACACAGTTAAGTTACTGGGTGTACAAGTCGACAAATCCACCTCGCTCTACGATGGGCAAATTAAATCGGATCAAGGCTCTGTCAACCATGCTTGACCTCTCCCCCTTCCTGATCCTGCTCCCCCTCCACCTGAATGCAAACTGTACTTTCACACTTCTGTGCTGATAAGCCACTAACGGTTCCACTTGCATACGTATAGCCCACTGTTAGCAGAACGCCTTCTGAAAACCGCTCACTTCCAAAATTATAACAGATACTTGCGTGCTTGGCGGCTCGGAAGGGCTCATCTAATACTGTCAGTCGAAAGAATGCCTCTGTCCAGATGTGCCCTAATTAGTACTTTTCCTTTGTTTCACAGCAATTTTTAGAATTTGCTCCCATCTGATTAAGTACCCAATAGTAGATGCTTGAGGAAGCATGATGTTATTTTTCCCAAGGTCGTTTAGAAAAAGCGAACTGATATTTCTTCGAGCTATATGGTCAAATCAGTCACGATAAACTTGGGCTAATCAACCTGATGTTCTAAACTCGTCATTGCAGTCGACTGAACACCCACAATTGCAGCTGCCCATCAAATGCCCTGACCTACCGATATGCAGATAACAGGCACCCATACGACTTTCCTATATGGCCTAAATGTTGAAAGCAAAGGTCAGCAGCAGCAGCCTGTCGACGACTGCGTGAATTCGCCTTAAACAGACAGCTGTTTTTGGTGAAGAAACGCCTGACTGAAGAGGCGTACGCCCGCGACCCTTCACAGTACACGTTGCCAGAATGTGGTGGTGGTATCTGATCTTGAATGATCATATGTCTCTTTTCGGGAGTTCTGACCCTGGAAACTCGAGTGAGGCTTCTGTCCCACATTATGTACGTGCATCACGGACGGACAAAGTGAACAAAACCGCAGCCACTGCCGCTAGGGCAGACGCATTGGCGCGCCGCTCTGTCTACGTCGTCCCCCCCCCC